TTTTCGGTATTACCATTTTTGTAATACCTTAAGATGCCTTTTTCTGTTTCAGGTATGGACTTGAAGTTAAATATCTTTTGACCTTTGGCATAAGGAGACTTTTAATCAACCAAGGGTATTCCTGAAAGAATGTCCCAGCATACACGTGAGTAAAGCATACACGTACCTAAAGCTAAATTCGTTCTTTGGGGCTTCTTAAGATAAGGAGTTGGTAGTTGGTATATTATTATTATTGAAACAAAATCAAAATATACATATATCAAAATCTAAAAATTTACTATTATATTAAAGTTTAAAGTTAAAAGAAAAATAAATAAATAAATAAAAAAAAAATAAATAAATAAAAATAAATATATAAATTAAGTTAAATATAAAAACAAAATATTTTCGCGTATGTATATATTTTTTATTTATATAATTATATACATACTTACATATTTATATGTGTGCATACCTTTGAATTACGAATCTGATGCGATACTTAAAATTTTGCTCGTCTGTGATATATGCACCGCTGACAGTATCTGGGTAGTTAAGCCAGTTATTTATGGATAGGGGCCGGGATAGCATCTTGGCTGCTGATGTACTCTCATCGGTGTTCTCACTTTCATTTCGCTTGGCTTCGTTTCGGACCGCACAGTCATTTGTCAGGTGATGAAACGACGTGGTTCGATGTTTTTTTTTTTTTTTTTTTTTCTGTATTTTTACAGTTTTTGGCTTTTGCTGTTTCAACAAAGTATTTGAATTAAATTAAAGTTAAAATCTGTTTTTGGATGAGAAAGTTTTTTTTTTGGACATTTAGCTTTTTGTGTTGTTTGGTTAATTTGCATAAGCAACAAAAGCGACTGTTAGAAACGGGGAAAATCTTTGCATTAGTAAACTCTTGCGACTAATTAGAAAAGATTTTCGTTTCAGTTGGCGTCGATCTTTATCGGCGGGGGCAAGAGGCTGTTAAATTAACGGTACCGTTAATGTACCGTGTCTTTGGCCAAATGACAGCTGCTGCCGCTCCGGCAGAGGCTGAAGTAACAACAGGGGCCGCATACGAATCGCAGGTAAATAGTTTCAGGTGCGATCCAATTGGTATCACAAATTCACATTGTTTGCTGACATCTTTCTTCAGTAGTTTGCCAATCAATTGCCACATTGTGCGTAAGTGTGTGTGTGCGAAAGTATGCGAGTGTCCAGACATCAGAAATATTTCAGATTTCTTGTTGGTTTTGCATTACATTTTTGTGCCGTTTGTTATTGAGGCCTCATGCAAAAAATATTTCTTGCGCGCCATGTAGGTGTGTTTACATAAATATCAACAACAACAACAGCAATAATAATAATAATAAATACAGCTACCAGAACAACAACAAGAGTGACCAAAATATTAAAAAAAAAAAAAAGAGAAGAAGAAGCAAAGCAACAAGAGCGAGGAGCAGCAACAATAGCAGAAGTAAAAATTTAATGAATAAATAACAACAATTTCTCGGAGAAAGTCGTGGTCAGAAGTAAGCCATATACAGCAGCCGTAGCCTCGGATACACAATACCAAATAGCAGATACAGATACCAAACACACAAAGACACAATTTGCATTCAGATGCCACGCAAAAAAAAAAAAAAAAAAAAAAAAAAAAAACCAATAAAACTCAATTTTTTAACTGAAATCGCGCCCGATGCTGAAGCTGATGATGATGTTTCCATTGCGGAACTATTCAATAATGGAAAGTGAAACGGAAGATGATGCAATAAGGGACTCTACGAAGTTCTGCAAACCTTGTACAAATCCGAATTCAATAGAAGCAAACTTAAGTAAGTATTTTATATAAGAGAGAATTTTTACTGGAATTTAGAATTTGTAGTGTATGTTAAGTTATATAAAATGCACACACAAGTTTTTAAGTTTCTGAATTAATTTAAGAATATTTGTAATATATTCTAGAACATTTCTCTAATTATCCAACGTTTACTCCAAATTTATTCATAGTACAGTTAGCGCCTACCTAGTATAAATTCGCTCAACACTATTCCACAATAAAATCACCTATTTTGAAGGCTCATATCATTATAACTCATAGCTAGATACTAAATGAAACCACAATATTTTTAATAGCTCAAACATAATTATTCCACTTTATCCAAAGCAAATATGTAAACCATTTTCTGGTTTTTCTAATTGGCTATGGGGCAAAGCAGACTCAATTGCCCTCAGCATATCGAGCAAACATATTTTTAGCAAATACAGCAGAGACAATGTTTATGCTGGCAACTAAATTGGTTCAAGAGAAACAAATATGCACAAAGCTAGGAATATTTTCATCAACATCCCATTACAAACCAAAAAAAAAAAAAAAAAAAAAAAAAAGAGAAGCACATCAAAGCAACTATACGCCTTATAAATATGTAATTAAAGATGAAAATTTCACAAGCCATAAACTTGGTTGGTAAACTTTAATCTCATTCGCCTTTTACGTTTATTTGAATTGTAAGTAAATTTGCATAATAATCAAAAAAGTATATATATGAGGCAAAAAAAAAAAGCAGTCCGACCTGATGCTGTGACAACAGACGTGCAGCGACGTTCCGTATAAAGAATTTGCGGTATTTGGGTTAAAAATTAATTTACATGTGAAACGGGCAGCTCAGCTCAGCCGCTACAGCTGTTCATCAGCAGGTGGGCTGACCAGCAGCAGGAGGAGAAGGAGGGGAGCGAACTTGTGGCGGAAGGAGGGGGCTCATCATTGAAAAGTGAAATTTGTGGAAGCTGCGACTGAAATGTAGGCTGCGTGACACTTTCAGTTAGCTTGGACGGTTCGGCTCTCGGTCATTTTCCAAGCTCATCGAACGACGATTAATCAGCTAATTTCTTTATGAACTTTCATTTATGCAGCAGTAGCAGCAGCAGCAGCAGTAGCAGAGCAACAGACTGAGGCAGAGACAGAGGCCGAGACAGAGACAGCAGCCGCATTCAGACACGTTGCCTTCATCTGTTCAGAGACTCGTATATTTTTATTGTCAACTGTGTGCGGCTGGCAGATTATGTGCAATAAAAAATCAAAAAGCCGAAATTTAGAAAATCAATTTGGATTTCATTTCACTTGGCGTCGAAACGGGAACTTACATAAAAACGGCAGCAGCTACCGCATAATCATATATGTATATATCATATAGACATACACACATACACACATACAGACATATTTGTATATCTATCTACTCGCATCATCATATGTGTGCTTAGAGACAAATGTTATAAACAAACAAATTCACTTTTTATGAACCTATTTTATAATTTAATTATGCGACGAAGACGCTAAACTGCAGCCGACGCCTGGCCAAAGTCGAACTCGACTCGAAATGCGAACGCGTTAAAAGCCGTTTAAAAGGGAAAGTTAACGGCGCTGCGGCGGCCACAGTCGAAGCAGCTGTCTGAGCCACAGCCAGTGCCAAGGTTCGTGGTGCGAGGTAGAGCATGTTGCGCTCTTCAAGATATCCCTGCCGTGAGCTTAACGGGTTTTTCAAGTGCCCCAGCTCAGCCCAGCCCGGCCCGGACCAGACCGGACCGGCTCGGCTCGGCCCGGCCTGGCTTTAATTGATATTGTGTAACAGAACGCAGCGTGGCCAAAATAAATGTAGGTCTCTCTCATGGTAGTAATTTGTTGTTGCCCATGGCAGACAGTTGTTTTTGTTGTCTCTGTTGTTGTTGCTGTTGTTTTTGTTGTTGGCGGTGGTGGTGCTCGTGGTGCTGCTGCCGCTGGTGATCTCCAAAAAGAACCGTTGCGCTGCCAAAATAGAGTGAAAGTTGCCTGGCCAGCCAGCCGGGCCTGTATGCAAATCGAATTAACCAGATTCACCAGAAATCCAAATCCCAGATGAAATCTGTGACGCCGCCCAAAATGCAGCCAAAGCCTTGTTATGGCATGCGCATCTGTTGCAGCCAAAGCAGATAACACATCAGCCAACAACTAACTGACAAATTAATGACACAGAGAACAAACAATGAACATGACAAAATCAAGCAGCTCAACTGACTTATGCCGACTATTGGGTGCTCTAGAAATGTCAAGTCGATTCAAGGAGAAGAGTATATCAGGTCTATATATCAGGTCCAACCTATGGAGGGAGCTGATAATGGTAAAAAATATAGAAATATATATGTATAATTAATATACTTTATTTGTATTTAAATATATAAATAACATATATATTTACTGAATATATTAAATATATATTTAAATAGGCATATTCAAGAAATATACTCAATAGGCGTTTACTCTTTGATCCCTTGAAAATATATTGCTAGGAGACAAAGAGATGAATAAGTGAACAATGGGAATGAGCTAAACAGTCAGACAAAGCTGTCTCTTTCCAGTTTTCATATACAATAGCAGACTTTATGATACCCTCTCTTGCAATGCCTCTTTGCGCTGTAAGATTTTTCACAGCAGGAGCTAAATTTATGGATTCAAAAGAAGTTCGTAGACCAATAAATCAGCATTAAGGATGGCCTATACAAATTTATGTATATTAAGTTCAATCAACTGACGATTTGATAATACCCTGAGAAAGGGTGTTAAGACAAGTACAGCCCGAGCTGAAGTGTGGCTGTTGTGAATAGGTTGACTGCTCGCTGCTCGCTGTAGTTGTTGCTGCTGGCAACACAATGCGAGCTGAACTAAAATAAACTTTCACCAATTTCATAAAGCGAAGAGCAGCAGTAGCAGCAGCCTCAGCCGCAGCCTCTGCCTCAGCAGCAGCAGCAGCAGCATCAGCCGCTGTTGAAGTAAACAAGACAAAACCATGTTGCGACAGTGGCAGCAACGAGTGTTAGACAAAGAACCAACTGGCAGCGCATTCGGTGGCAGCCAGATACTGCCCCTATTCAGAGTGATTGAAAGAGATTCCCCATTGGTTGCATATAAATTAAATTATAAATTAAGTCAATTTAAATTAGTTACAGCTACAAATACAAAATACAAAACAAATACTGATGCACATTGCACTTGCCGCTCAGCGCTGCCAGGCCCTGTAGGCCAGGCGCTGCGGCTGCTGCTCCTGCTGCTGCTCCTCCACAATGTTTGTGGCACGACGACGTCGCTTGTGATGATGTCCCTCGCCGGTCACATAGGAGATGCTGTGGCTGCTCTCGTGGCCCTGCTGGGAGGCTGCTTTCAGCCCTAGAATGCCGGCCATCATGAGTGCTACCATGGCCACGCCCAACGCCTTCATGGCCAAGGCTCCGATGCCGCCCAGGCCCAGCACAGCCATCATTTTGCCAAACATCAGTGCCATGGCCAGCAGCAGGCCCTGTCCTTTGTCCTTCTTGCGTGCCTCTGCGTAATCGAAAAGACGAAGAAGAAGAAGCAGAATTAACATTGGAATTTATGAGTCCGCGCGGATGACAAAGCATAACTCTGCGTGTTCCATGTCTAGACTTTAGTTTAATGCCTTTTGTTTGCCATATTTGATGGTTAGGATACTAAAAGATCAAGTTACTGATGGGGAATTGAAAAAAGGTGAGCTCAGTTCAAAGTGTGAAAGATAATTTGCGCTTCGGAGGTTACAGATAAAGGCTTGACAAATCATTGAAGTTATACTCATGATGATAATATATTGATGATGATTATGTATGATGATTGTATTTAAATATTTAGCTGTCGACTTGAGCTTGGCATACATATTTTAAGATGACTTTTGAAGTATCACTTTCATATCGTGTCTGGCTATCCTAAAAATAGGATGATTGGACTTAGCATCCATTTATTCCTTTCTTTACTTCTTTCGCAAAGTATTGAAATCAGAAAACAAAATTTTTTTTAAGACTGATTTTCTTAGACTTTAAATCCATTTTTAAATTGGACCACAGCATCAATATGCCAGCATGAATATTAACGAAACTTCATTAGAGCAGGGCTTAGCTCGAGTAGCTGTTAAAATGCGTGTATTTTGTTACTCCGCTCCACTCTTTCGAATATTTAATAACGCCCCCCGTCAAGTCGATGGAAGTTAGTTCTTAAGTTCGTAAACACTTCTGCAACTTTTCCGAGAACTTTTTGTTGCACAGTTTTGAGGAAAGTGCCGTAAAACTGAATGGCAACAAGTGTCATAATCGTATTAGAAACTTTTCCGGCAAATTGAACAGGAAATGCAAATCATTTGCCCCACTTTACGCATAACTTGCGCCACATCACCCACCTGCCGCTGTTGCGCCACTGGGACTGGCCTCGTCCAGCAAATCGGCCAGCTTCAAGTTCAGCTCGTGCGTGCGCAGATACGTGGACAGACTGTCCAACAGCGTGGCATCCGCATCCGCGTTGGGGGCAGCTGTCGGTGGCGCCTCCACTTCGTTGGGCAGTGGCACTATCTCCAGGCCACGCATTATCACCAGGGGCTTATCACTCTTGCTCAGATTGCGCAGCACATTCCGCATGGCGCGCTCGCCGCGGCAGAGCAGCGTGGCAGGATCCTTGCTGCAGTTGTCCAGCTGGGCGCTGGCCAGGCACAGCAGGCCCAGCAGGCTGAGCAGGCACAGTGGAGTGGCGTAGCGTGGAGGACACATGTCGCTCGAGTCTCGTTTGCGTTTCAACTGAAGGCCTTGACAATGCCATGGTCATACTTTATAGCCAACTATTCTGAGGCGCTTTCCCAAGGCCAGCGCATTGAAGCGAATTGTCACAATTGAAATGAATCGAAACAGAAGCTGAAAATGGCATAAAACAATAGCTCTGAAAATATACTTAAGTGGCAATGCTTTCTGTTTGCGTTGCGTTTTTCGCGTTTGCATTGCAATTTTCTTCTTCACTGGCCGCTGCAATTTTCAATTTTCAACGGTCAGTTGGCCAGCGAGCTGCGTCGTGCGTCTCGCTCTGCTGCGTCCGGCGGCCACTTCACATGGCCCAGAGCGGCAGTGGAAAAGTAAAATGAATTTGAAGCACGGCTCCCCACTCGCAAGATCTCAAAATTATACAAATTAGAGCTACTCAAAGTGCTACAGGTTTGTTCCTAGCGCACACCTTACAATGATTACTGTGTGGCTCACACAATTGTCTACCATCTGGGCCTAAACGGCTCTATTAGCCCGCTGCGATGTGCGTGTCCCCATACCAGACTAGAAAAGCGAAAGTTAGCTCGAATTTTGATTGCTTTGTCGAATGCGTCTCGAAAAAATACTTTAAGCTGGTTAATAGTTGTATTTTTTGTTTTTTTGTTTTTCACATAAAGCAAAAACAAATTTGAACCCATGACGACCTTTTTTATACCCTGAACCTCACGCAACTGCATAGCACGAGAGTGGGGTATCATGTTGCCACACCGACATATGTTAGAGGCAGAATAAGTCTTTCAACAGGTCTATCTATTCGTTCGTCTGTTCTGTCTATATAGGAATTGAGGCAGATCAACTCGGACTTTCATAGAATTCTCGTTAGAGATGTGAGCTTAAAGAGAAAGCTTTTCCCATTTGGATTTGTAGTCTATACTGAAGATAATTAAGACAGTGTTAATGATAATGATACGATGATATGGTGTTCAATCAGAAATACATTTTCCTTGTATATAAAATAAATATAGAAGCTTCAAGGGGCTACCTCAACACTATTTAGGGTATCTGCCAGCTTAGTCAAATTTTCCATCCACTAGATGTTAAGCTCTTTTCCCTGTACTACCTCAAACTTCTTCGGATCTATCGCATGCGTTTCATAAGCTGGCTAACACCTTTCGACTATTTTGTAATAGTGCACAATGTATTAATCAAATTGACGTGACTCCAGCTCGCAACGGCTACAATATTCCATCAAAAGAAATCAGCATCATGATGAACGGCATGATCACCATTATTATGATGACGATCGGCAGCAGCATCGAATGATGATCGACGTAGCTATTCACAAAAAGCAATAACTTTCACTCTCGATGTATTAATTTTTATATTTAACATATTGTTGTTCACAAAGCATACACACACACACATACGCACACATCTGTGTATGCACATGCTATATATTACGGGAAATTTGAAGCTACTCAAAAAAATGAAAAAAATTGTGTGTACATATATTTATATATATGTATGTATAGATATATATAGATATGGATTGTATCCGCAATAAAAACAAGTCAAGTCGAAACGTTATTGAACTGCGCTCGAGCCCCGCCGCATGTGAAGTCAACCAAAATTGATCTGAACTCGTTACGTTTGGCTTTTTGTTGTTGTTGACGTTGACGGCAATAAAAAGAAAGTATCTACCAGCCACTCATCTACCCAGCAGCAGATCATCGAGGGGCAACAGCAGCAACAACAGCAGCAGCGGCAGCAGCAGCACCATTTGGTGTCCATCGGTGGAACCCGTTGCTTGGCTGCATGGAAAGCGTTCGACGGACCAAAAGTCCGATTCGTTTCATTTGAGTGTGCGACTATTGTGAATTCATTCACAGCACATTGTTATAGATTTAATTGTTGTAATTGTTGTTGTTGCTGCTTAGATCTGTATCGGCAACTTGTTATAATTGATTGTTGTGCACCATCATCATCAACATCATCATCAACATCATCAGCATCATACTCATTTCTATTGAAGTTTTCGTGGGCCCAGCTTGAATGAGATGTGCACTGCATCTCACTCTGATTGAGTGGCACTGCAACTAGTCCATTGCAACGTGGGTGGGTGGGGGCTTCGCTGCAGTCAATGGACCATCCATCATGGTGAAACACCCTATTAGAACGAGTGGATGAATCCACAATAATAGTATTGTATTGCCACAATTGTTATTCTGAACTTCTTTCAGCATTTATCACGCTTCACTTCCTTCAATGAAAAAGTTATTAAAGTGGTTTACTTGATTTGAAAATACCGTGTATTTGCTTTAATTGAATATGAACTTTTCTCGAGTTTGACCAAAGAAAATACCTATTTTGTTCTACGGCGTTATTGAATATCGTGTTACCCTCTACTAATGCTGTTGTGTATTTAGTCTATGACATTTAAATTTCGTATCTTAAAAATATATTTGATAAAGTATGAGGGACCAAACACACTTAGTTATATCTTTAATTTCTATATTAGTTTTATATATATTCTTTGAATTATTGTTTGCTCCAATCAACTTTGCTCCACAACAATTCATCATATTAAAAATAGAAAGTGAGAATTCCCATGAATATTAATATTAACATTATACCGTTATTTTTTACTCAAGCTTCTATCTCCTTTTTTTAAATTTCTTACAATATTTATTCTTAACAACTCTCCTCTATGCGCACTTCAAGCAAAGCGCTCTGTGTGTTCTCTCATGATAGCTTTAAACTGTTTAATGCTGCATGGTGAACTAACTGTATATCTTACGATCCATTAATTCCATTCAAATATTTTCTTTTATTTATAGAAAACGTGTGTTACACGGAGAGACAAAATGCGTATTTTCTATATCTTTGCATTAATCATAAATATCTTTGACGCAGGAATACCCTACAACGAATATGAACTATTGAGTTTTCAATTTTAAGCTTCAAGCTCTTTTTTTTTCTTTTTTGTTGATTTAGGTTGGGTCAAGTCAACTGACTGTCTTCTTTAATTGTCCTGCATACTTTGATGGCAAAAGGTCGCATTCCGATTCCTTTCGCTTTTATTTTCGATTGGCTTTTTTTTTATTTTGCCTTGACTGACTTTAAATTTAATTTTCCAGAATGTTTGGTACTGTAATAAAAGTAGTCTGGTCAATGTCCTCTGTGCATTCTGAAGTTTGATTGCATTTTTAAACAATTGTCTAAATCCAGTCTGGTTGTTCACTTGCAGCTTATTGTATAAGTTCTTCCCCTGTATAAGTTGAATATGTATATGTATTAAAATCCCTTATGCCAAGCGCATTATTCTAAGTCGCATCGCTTAGTTGCTTAACGAGCTGAGAAGCGAATTGAAATGGTTTTTCATTTGTCTGTTTATTTTTATAAAAGTTTTCATTTAGTGAGCAGGTTTCGCTCAATCAGACAAAATTCATAGTAAGTGCTGCTTGACTCGGCTGAACTGTGTCTGTTAAATCCAGCCATGTAAACGAACATCTAAAGCATAAAGCAACATCCAGCTGCATATTGATGTTCTGCCCGCCGCAAAGGCTGCCACAAACAAATACGCGCCCGATAGTATGCAGTGTTTTATAATGAAGCCACAGTTCGCATTAGATTAGCATACCACATTCGGTTTAATTACACATGTCGTTGCTGGCACGCCCATCTGATGGCGTCGCACAAACACAGACTGAGCCGCCGGCTGGCTCCACCTGCAGAGTAATTCAAGTAATTCAAATTGCAAATTGAATTTGGAGCGGCTATGGTGGGAGCTAGTGCTGGTGAAATCTAATGAAAATAAGCGAGTCACTTTAATTAGAAAACAATTAGATTAAAATAAATTAAACGAATCGCTGGGCGCAGGCAATCGATCTAGCTGTGGCGAAATATAAACAGCAGCAAGCACCACACGAACACTAAACATTGGCGAAATTCGTGCCAGAGAAAATAAAACAAATATAACAACAGCAGCACAACAACATTTAGCTGCTCGACTCGCCCCAACGTCTGCCAGACTGCAAACAATTAAAGAAAAAATCAACAATTTTATTGCGAAAAAAAAAATGAAAAAAACCCATATAAATAAATAAAAATGGAAAATAATACAAATACAAATAGAAATATATTAAATAAATTTAATTGGCAATTGCCATTTTCTACTGTTTTTCTTCTTCATTTTTGCATGTCTCAAGGCCATTCATTCGTTTGTCCCGCCGGAGACATGCAACAGTATCGAACCAGAACTTTTCGTTGTTTCACGGCAGAAAACTCTTTAATAATTGACGCACTATCAAAGCGATGCATTAATTATTCAATTTTCACTTTTGTTTTCGGTTTTCGTAAGTCAAGCCTGAGGCCAATGAGAACGCTAAATTGACCTTAAAAAATTGAGAGCTTTGTATGAGCAACAATCAAAAACAGTCGGCGAAAAAGAAAATAAGCTACAAACTAAATAATTTGAGGTGTATGCGGCTTCGAATACCCTGTTTAGTTGGTTGACTGCTGGGAGCATTGTGAATTAAATAAGAAAATCCAAGAAGATAAACTAAACTTTTAATATTTTTTATTTAGTGTTTCCATTATATATTTATTTTATTTTATTTATTTTTTTTTTAATAAAAAAATCAATTTATGAATTTATCCCTTATGACAAATCCCCTAACCTCTTAATGAACTAATTACACTGAAAGTCTTTTAAGTGTATGAAATTGATGAACATAACAAAAAAAATAAAAATAAAAATAAAAATAAAAAATAAATAAATAAATAAATAAAATAAAAAAAATAAATACAAATAATAATAATAAAATAAAATAAATAAAAGAACAAAAAATAAATAAAGAAAAAACTCCCTTATGCTACTCTTAATTATATTCCACTCAAATTATACTCTCAAGCAATCAGTCTTTGATTATGAATGTGAGGATATAAAATAAACTTAAGTACATCTTTAACTCTTTTGTATAAATTTAATTGTATATAGACATTGGATATTGGATAATCTGATAATATGCTTTCACAAGTTACATATCCACTCCTTAGTTGGCCATGCCCACGCTTACTTAATCGCCAGCTATTGTGTTGTACTTCAAACAAATAGCAAAATACGCCACATTTCTGTTTTTGACAATCGCCGTTGGCAGCAAGCAACTTTTAGAGTAAATAATTTATTTTTCATATAAATTATGAAACGCAATTTCGTTAAGTGCAATTGAAAAACTTTCACGACTAACTACCGGCTGCAGCCTGCCCGCGAGCAGCGTGTCCTTTGCCTCTGTGGAAG